CACTTTTTAGCGCGGACCCGACGTCCATATAATTGTAAGTCAATGGCATTTCACCTTTATCTAATCAGATGGAAAGTGATGATGAGGTCGAGGATGTAGCATGCACACCTAAATAATGTCTACTCCCTCTCGCTTTAAAACGGTCCAACTTATATAGCGTTCGGGCAGTAAGTCCGTAGGTAGGAAACGCTTCTTGCGAATCCTGGGAATATCCACAACATAGGGGTGGAATACCAGCCTATATCTAGCACCCCGCTGATAGAAAGGCGGAATCAAATTATGCAATTCCATCGCACTCTCCGTGATATATCCTGTAGAATACCGACAAGAAGGCAACTTTAAGGCGGTGTTCAAAGCTCAGCAGCTTCGCCTTTCGGGCCCTTTACAGGTCCCATGGTCACGGTTGACTGAGGTGGTACAGTCTTCAACCAGTTATGTCTAATATTGACGCAAACCACCCTATTTTTTCACTATAGTTACAATAGTTATTAATTAAATACGTTATTTTTAATTTTAAAAAGAAAACATTCCAATTTACGCTATATTAAGTTTTACAAATTATTTTATTGAATGAATTTTTATTAAGTTCAATTTATTATTAATTATTAATAGAAATTAGAATAAACTAATACATATTAATTAGTACTGCAGTCTTATGTCTGTTTGGGATTTTTCATTAGATTAAGAAATATACGCGATTTAAATCCGGAAAAATAGTTTCATTTCCTATGTGTAACAATCGCGAAAACCCAAGAACTCGATAGCGTATATTTGTTTTCAAACAAACCAACGGTTGACCATCACCCGCGACCATTGGACCTGTAAAGAATCCGTTTGTTTGTTTGAAAAAACAAATATACACGATGGAAATAAAATTATATTTTGTTTTTTGTTTTTTAAACAAACAAATGGTTCATGGTTTGACCCGCAGGTCCCATGGTCACGGGAGACTGAGATGGTAAAGTTCTTTACCAGTTATGTCTAATATTAATTCTTATATTATTACCAGTATTCTATATAATACAAATCATATTATTTTTATTTACTATTGACGAGTAATGTATCTATTTAAAACACTTTCATTACAAGATATTCTTTGGTTGCACCCCCTTTTCCAACTCTTAAATTTCTAGCCTACGGTTGTCTGGAAAAAATTGCTATTTAGCAATAAGGCCGCTTGTACATTAGGTTGCTTTGTGGTATTTGCATTACTGTTTTGCGTTGTCATTGTAATTTTTAATGTGCAATGATAGTATTTTACGCAATCGTTGTATAATGAGGGCTCCAAAAGTCGAATACAGTATTGGCTTAAGTAATAGGTACGAGATTTTAAGACCTAATTATGTAACCCTCTATACCAAGGCTACGTTTAGAGTATGGTCTACTTCAAGCTAATTTTAAACATCGAGTATACAATCGGAAATAGAGGCAAAATGTCATTTAATTTGTTTGAAAACTACTCTGCCAAATCATTACGGTGACAACTGCGCTCCGATTGGCCAGCCCGAATTCGATACAATTGATGGGTATCGACAATTGTTTCACTTCAAATTGACCAGCTTAATTTGAGCTTGATAGCAATAATGGACGAAAATTGACAAATTACACATATAACATTTAATCACGGATGAAATGTGATTCCGTTTGTTTTGTAATTAGATGTTTTGCTGTTTTTCCCACACCACCGAATGGAACAGCCACCATTGTTAGAGATATTATCTTTATTACAATAAATACAGAATATTTTTGGAATATACGGAGACGTGCACACAGGTCAGTTGTTGTCGCTGTACTGTTTCAGCTTTCTAATTTGTGATTTCAGTGCAAACGAGAGTTGATATTTAAAAGTGATATAAGGCCCATTTGCTTGATGGATGCCGCTTATTTCGTCTATATTTCTGGTTATATACTCGATGATTTAAAAAAATAAGTTTAAATCTCACGGGTGGTGGAATAAACAGCGCCTTCAAGTCGACGGTCCTGTCCGGTGATCGTTCCAAGAGACGCAGCAGTTGCGCAGCTGCCTTGTGCTCGGCCGGGAGCAACCCCGGGCTGTTCTCTATTTCCTTGAGGAAGTCCATTGTAAGACCGCGAAGACGGTCATCCGACCAGAAGTCCGAGGAATGCTTCGAGATCCAATGTCTGTGAATAAATATGGTCTAGTAACAAAAGAGTTGTATCGTTATCTTCAATTTTGCTTTTGCTTTGAAATCTTTATCTACTATTATTAATGTAATTAAGTACATCAATCTTTTAGTCTTATGTCTACTTTTCTTGCGTCTGCTTTAGACGTGGAAGGGTGAGAGCCTTGTGCTTTTTATCACAGGTTAATCCTGGTATTGCACATTTTCACGAATGAAACTGTCTTCAGTAATTTGTGGGGACCATAGAAGACTAATGAATGAAATCTTAAATTTCGACTTATCCGTAGAACAAAGATCTACGTGCGAGACTACTTCTCAGGACATAGTACATTTCGTTCGTTCTTCTTCGCTGTGGATTTCATATCTACCGTTGTTCGATTTTATATTTCCGAAACGAAATAAGATATAAAAATTCTCAAAACACCTTTACCTCTTTTTGCTGTATAATCACATCGGACTTTGTTCTTCGGAAGAGTCGATTTCATGGTCTTACTTTTGTTTAAGATGCTATGTTATTTAGAAGAAAAGAATCCTTATGGTTGAGGCTTTCTACCAGGATAGTAAAATTACAGGTGTTTTTTTCACATTTGTCGAATTCGATTCCCGGTTCAGACAGGCGATTGTGTAAAATTCTTTGAGTGCAGTTCGAATTGTTTTTAAAACCAAAATGCGATCTTCTTTCAATAAAACTTTCTATCTACAGTATTTAACGTACTTTCCCTCCGAGAGGCATAGCCGAGAAACGCCCTGTGTAAGTACAAGTTTGCTTCGAAGCACAAGTTTAATTTTCATTATTTTTGAAGTTGGCAAATACGAATTTAGCGGAACCAAATATGAGAATATAAAATAGAAACATATAAAAGTTAACAATTAATATAACAACGACGTATCTACTTAGTGCAGCCTTACTTAATCTTTATTGAAAAGCATCGATTAAACAAAAAGATTTTTTAGATTTCGTGACAAAGCATAAACAGCTGAAAATTAAAAAATGGTAACTGTTTAACGTTGAATAAATAGAAGTTGTGTAAATGGGCATCCTCCAAAACAGCAATTTTCTGTGTCCATACACGAGAGCACAAAAAAATTCGAAATACCTAAAACCTGACAACGGTGGCGTGTCTCGAATTCAGAATCCTACACAAAATTGAAACCGTATATCAATATTACATTTTAGTCCACGTATAATAAATTAGATAATAATATTTATCACCTGAATTTCACAATAAACTAGACAATACTTTTATCACAATACCAAGATTGCTGTGTGTTCCCAGGGTTACGCCTGAATTCGGTGGTAGTTCGTAATCACGCTACACATCACAAGTGACGCATTGTGACGTGACGCAGTTCGTATTATTCGTCCATCGCACACCTGCCGCTGTAGACAACAGGCGAATGATTTGTTGCCGATTATAGGACTTTTGCGTGTAAATACGTAATTCGCTGTTAGGTCTAGGTTGATTTTTGAATTCGGTGTATTATACGATATTTAAAAAACTAAATTTAATGGTTCTATGTAATATTTTGTATAATATGTGGCTAAATTATAACAACAATTTATTGGTTTTACAAGTATTGTCGTTTACGAGTAATATCAAAAAATATATATTTTCTGAATCCCATTTTTCGTACAAATGTTTAGTTAATATTATTGATTTTCACAATTTTATATTAATACTTGGTTCTCGCTGAAAATGAATAAAGAAAATCAAAACAGAAAAGAAAAATTGAAAATCAAGAAGCTCCATCTTCTTCTAACGTGCTAGAAAAGCAGATAAAAGGCGATCAAATTATGTACGAAAAAAGAAAGAAAAAGATAGACAGATGAATGCGAAGAAAAAGTGGAAGGAAAGATTTTGAAGTTGCATGAATTATCTTGTCATGTATAAAAAGTAACGAAAGATATTAATCGCGCAATTTCCAAAACATTGATTGCTTTTATAGTTACAGATTGCATTCAAAATTATTTTTGAAAGAGATACGGAAATACTGTGTGTGATTGAAAAATGGCAGAAAAGCCAAACTGAAAACTGATTATGATTAATTTTCGTTTTCGAATTTGAAATTTAATTTTCGTGATCGTTTTCGTTTCGTTTTAATTTTTAAAGATTAAGTCATAAGGTGAAATCTGTTAGCAGTTTTCTGGTCGCTTTTTATTAAAATTTTACTTTTTAAAGCTTGATTTCATAATTAGTCATATTAGTATCTAAATAATTATGTAGATTACGCCATGTTATTACTGTCTTTTTCATAATATTTTGCACAAAAATTATGCCTTGTGTTAAATTATCCTGATGTCGGTGGTAGCTGAATTCGGTGGATCAAATATGTCATTAACTATTAAGATTCTAGTTATCCAATTAAAGGAATCTTATGTATGTTTGAGTTTTTTCCTTCCCGCTCAATGTTTTTCCTGAAATTAGGAAAAAAAATTCGACCCACCGAAATCAAAGAATGCAGCCCTTTTTGGAGAAATGCTCAAATAAAAACTTTTTTCAACTACAGTTTACAAAACAAGAACACAAAATCAACCTCGGACCACCCAATGAAACCTGTATTAGCAAGAAATTAAAACGAGAATGAAAAAGTTACACATGACACAAAACATGATCGTTTTAATATCAATTTAAGTAGCCCTAAAATAAAATGTTAAATTTTTTATCTCCTCTGTAAATTATAGTTTTATTGAAGCTTAGTATAGAGTTTTATTTACTAATGCGAAACCACGAAATGAACAATCATGAATTAGCCTTGATCATCTGTTAGAACTGACCTCAAAACGTTAAGCACACGCATGGTAGCTGCTGTAGAAATGACCGAATCTCGTCGAGTAGCAGGTGGAGAAGACAGTGGTGGAGACCTCGGGTTAGATGATGCCGAAGTGGCCACGGCAAAGGCCACAGCCGCGGTTGACGTACTGCTCCTAGACACACCCCATCAGTTGAACAAAAATATATCAAGATTTGGTTTTAGAGATACAATTATAAGTTAATTTAACGCCAATTGTGTTTTTATAAACATTACTGATGCCATTTAATAGTGGAAGGTTGTAGAAGTGTTGCAAAGTAGGAAAACTTTCCATTCCAATCTTGAACTTAAAACTTTTTTGTGTGCGAATAATGCAAAAATCGCGGTTGCACATCGAGATAGCGGAGATATATTTTGTAAATTTTCAAATCAAAGTTTTAACAGTTCGCGAACAGAACGTTAATAAAGTTATAATACTTAATGCAACACTATAGTTTAAAAAAAACTATAGTTACAACGGATAGACAGATAAAATTAACAAGATCATGCAGAATAAAAACATAAAGAAGTAAGAAAGGAAATATTAAGTTAACAGTTTATAATACAGTTAAGGTCGAGTGTTTAGGCATTAGTAACGTATTTAATTTAGAATAAAACATGCAACAAGTTTTAATTTCTTTTTAATAGTCAATAATTTTAGGGATTATATTAAAATTTAATTGGATTTGTTATGTTAAGCTTTTCACTCTCACTGACAATTAATTCTGGACAAGAAAAGATAAAAAAAACTAATAAGGTATACTCATACACATATTGAGCTTCTATTCCAAACAATATAATGACATTATAATATTTGGAATAGAAGCAAATTATAATGATTAATATCTATATATGGAAATCTAAGAAATTATCAAAATTGTATTTGATTTCAGTGGAAGTGTCAATAATCAACCAGTTGCGGAATGTGAATCTGTATGTGATGTAAGATGATAATATGATACTCAACTTCAGTGTAGGTGCTTTAATTTTTCTAAAATACCCAAGGTACGATACAAGGTACTACACAGTGATTTGTGAATTCTGTCATCCTCGTGATAGTGTCATCGTTGTGGTGTTCATGTGACAAAATAAGGGTCACAAAAATTTCAAAAAAGGGAAAAATATTCTAGGTAAAGCCAAAATTCCAAAATACTCCTCTACGGCAGATCTACAGTGTCTGTTCTACCTTTACCTTCACCAACCACTCACCACAACAGGTCTTTTCCAAAGCTGTTAAACGATTGAACATGTCAGTCTTTAAAAAAATATCTAATTTACTCTAGAAGACGTTTAGAAATTTGAAAGAAGAAAACCCCATGATATTGACCATTGTGCATAAATAAACGATGAAACTTCCCTTAGTTTTGTGACTGTAAAAAAACAATCGAGTGATTACATGCCACAACATCGAGAGAATCGTGATTGCTGAAGCTTTAATCAATGTCATTGAAGAGAATATGAATTGGAAAGATGACCCAAATGTAAAGAAAAATTTGAGAGAGAGACTTAATTTACCTCCGGTGTGATTGCCTGAATGAGGTGATTACCACTCCTGCTTTGGGTTGGCTGGTGTCACGACGATAGGTCTGAAAATTGGAACATTTGTAAGAATGCAGTTTTTTTATTTTTATAGATCTCAAACCTGTATTATTTTGATTATACTTACTTGTACCTGTGAAACTTGAGAGGTGACCGAAGATCTCGGTTCTGATCCACCCCAATAGCGACGCCGTTCACTGGATATTGAAGAGCTGGTGCAACGTCTTTCACTGAAAACAGTAACTTCTAAACTTAAATTGAAATTATTAGTACAAAGATCGAACACATATAATAATAATAATAATAACATATATAATAATAACGCTCACACTCAACATAGCCCCGCACTAGGGAAACCCTGTGTCGCGGGTGCCATGGACACACACATAGACAACCACAAATTACACCCAAACTCACGAGAGAAATAAATGTAGGCCATACAAATATTTCTCCCGGCCCGGGAATCGAACCTGGGACCTCTGCGTGGCAGTCCGGCATGGTAACCGTTCGGCCACGGAGGCAGTTAAACATAGAAACACTATAACATAGAAACACTATTTCGACTCAATGGGACTTGAACCCGCGACACGCGACTCGCGGCTGCACCGTAGTATTGCTATTACCAACTGAGCTATGGATCCAGTTGTCGAGATGTCGAAATTCAGCTATGTTTTTATTAAAGATCTTTGTACTTTATCTTTCTGCAATCCGAGCAGCAACTCGGATTGCAGAAAGACTACTGTATGTCACTAGCAAGTGACATACAGTGAGAGATTATAGAACCTTCTTCACCACAGCCTGCTATTTTCAAATATAATAAAGACTACTGGAGTTGTTTCACTGACAATTTCAATAATACTAAAATTGAAATTTAAAAACCCTGCGATACAAACAGTATACTCCAAAGAGTCAATAAAGTTACCATCTGTATGCTAACAGCTTGTTGAGATAAATTCAGAGACCCCCCACACGCGTCGCCGCGTGGACCTCTGGTCGACGCTGTGCGTAGATTGCACACAAATTTGATTCAAATTGTATGCCATAGTGTTAAAGTTTATTGGAAAACAGTAATCCCTAGAGTTTCTTGCTCGTTCTTCTCTGGGAAGCCAGCTTAGTGAATGAGCAGTAGCTTAAAAGTGACAATTTCAAGTGTAAATTTATTTTACCTATGGAATAAATGCTTATTTGACTTTGACCCTAAATTCAAGGGACTTACCTGACAGACCTTCGAGGAGCATACCGTCCAGAGTCGGAGGCTCGTCTAGGTTCGTCACCAACCTCTGCCTTGGGGCCACGAGCGCTGTCGGATCGTCGTCGGGCTTCTTGAGCTGCCGTCGCTGCCGATGGCTGCAGGCGACGAGGACTCTCCGACATTGTGCGTACACGCTATATAGGGAACATAAATATTATTGTGTAGGTATGTCGTTGGTTCAACTTTATAATTGTTATGTAGTTTTTGATACCACAGAAATGACAATTATAATGTATTAGAAAGACATTACATGTGATCTTCAGATATTTACCTCTGAAAATTTCTGCGACAATTTAAACTTGTCATCGACTTTGAACGTGTTTTTCTCCTGTTCCTCTTCTTTATACTTAACGTCCTCGTCACTTTGGTCCACTAGCTCAATACTCTCGTCTTTCGTGATAGCTGCGGCTGCAGCGTCATTATCTTTTGTTGGAGATTTGTGTTCTGCTTTGGTTGGTGACTTACGATCGGACTTTAAAACTTCTTTCGTGTCGTCTGGACTTACTTTCTTTGGACTTCCGACTAAAGTTACCGAGCTTATAGCCCCAGGAGATGATGGTGAAGTACCTGAAAATATAAAATTTGTGTATAAAACACGTCATACGTCATGCAGTTATATCGTTCTCCTAATGGTATACTTCCCGTAGGTCCCAGTCAAGAGCACATCAAGCTTGACACTTTGGACTTTTGACCGTTCTTATTGCAAGCGGCATAGAGTTAAATTCAAACCTAAGTGTCAAGCTTGACGTGCTCATGACCCTGTACCTATGCAAAAAAGAACCAAAAACATAGAGGTATTCTTGTAAGTTTTTTACCTTTGAGCGTTTCATTGCTAGACGACGTAGCCATTATTTTAGGAATCGTGAGGTGACTGTTGTCCTCGTCCACCTTCCGTAAGCGTATGATAACATAAATTATTTGAAATATTGCGTTCAATTGTGAATTACTCTTTCAATTTATGTCGTGGAATATTTACCTTGCTCACAGATGACGTGCGGCGAGATGGTGCCATCAAATAAGGAGATAACTTATCGTCTTCCTCACCTGAAATTAGTTAAAACAACAGAACCAGAAAATGTGAACGACTTTCTACTTTAGCCGCCAATATTTTACAAAACTATCTTACTTTTGCGGGACATCCGCCAAAATCTCGATGACCAATCTCTATCGCTGTATTCTGAGCCATATCCTATAATAATTCAAAATTTAATATCACAAACATGTGCTTGGTAACTTTTTGATCTCAGAACTCTTCGAATCTGGTAGATATATTTTAAATTTACATATTTTCAAAGTGATTTCAACAACATAATTCCGTCTTATGCTATAACAAGGTACAGAAATCAAATTTTCAAACGCGATATATTTCAGAAACTGTAACATTATTGGTAGGTCAATGAACTGTAATAATTAAGTTTGATTATCGAAGAATTCTTACCAGAAACTGAACTAGCTGCACTAGTCTTCCTCGTAGCATCAGGTGGAGGAGCCAACTCCAGCTCCTGCTGTGACTGCTCATAGAACACCTGCTTTAGAGCCTCCAGTACTGTCACTCCGTCGGTGAATACACGGTAAGTCAGCAGAAATGTGTTTAAGAAATCCACAGATAGGAAACGGAGATCTGTCAACGAATTTATTGTTGAGAATCTTTAGACATGAGCAAAGAATCAATGTTTGCTACACAATACAAAAAACACAAAAAGTTAGCTACTACTTACCAGTAAGCCTTTGCAATAGCCGTTGTGGGGTCGCTGATCTTATCTGAGGAACTTTGCACGAATTTAGCGTCCTGCTGAACCTGATGTCCACGTCGTCAGTGAACAATGCCCTGTCAGAGCGACAAGCTGGAAGACTGGCCGAGGCAGCCCCGCACGAGCCACACGCTCGAAGTAATTCCGTTAGAGCTGCATTTTCCATACATTGAGCTAGCTCGCTTGTCCAAGCTGCTTTTTCTTCTATAGTTGCTGCCACTTTAAAAATACAAACGAAACATTGTACCTTGTCTTCTTCTTTGAACTCTAAGGAGTTAGTTTTATAATTTATTATAAAATACTTTTGTTGTACCTAGATGAGCGCAGATCTGTTCTCCCTTAACTTCAACAAGAATCTTGAAGTCCTTTCCTTGATAAAGATCTCCACCTGGCGAAGAACATACTGAAGTGGAATCTGGAAAAAGTTATTTGTGCGGAAGGACTAAGACTTAAAATAATAATAATAATAACGCACACACTCATAGCCCCGCAATAGGGAAACCCGGTATCATGGCTGCTATGGACACACGCATAGACAACCAAAAGTTATACCCAAACTCACGAGAAAAATAAATGTAGGACCAATATTTTTCCCGGCCGGGACCTCTGGGTGGCAGGCCAGCATGGTAATCGTTCGGTCACGGCGGCAGTTTATAATAGCATAAAATTATAATATTTCACATGTTTCATAAAGATAAGTTTCAAATTAACACTGGGACCGAGGAATATTAAATTAATTAAAGGAAATTTTACAAAATTGCTGCTTACCATCATCGTCATGGTTTGAAGGATCCTCAATCAGCAAGGCGTCGTGCAGAGGCAGTCTACCATTCGGTGGTAAGTGGAGTCGTCCTCCAGCAGCTCTGGTCGTTAACAGCAGATGATTGCTGAACAGGAATGCCTGTCGAGCTTGAGGTGTCGCTCTTCGACCTTTGCCCACGACTTGAGATAACGTTCCTGGGGTATTAAACGAAAATTCGTCTATTTATATAGCTTATGAAATTATTTATCGTTTTCAAATCAACAAACATAGGTTCATTAAAAAGGGAAACTACAAAATCAATGATTTGAAAAACACCCTCACCTTGTCGAATAAAGACTTGGTTGACATCCAGGAGAATATCACAACCTTCGATTATCATTCTTTCCACGGCCAAATTTTTCCTCAAATTTTCGGTTTCGCTGACCTGAAAATACGCACATGTAATATACAATGTACGTAGAGGTGAATATTAATTCTGATTACCACAATTACCTCATCGTGCATTTGCCGGGAGAGTTCCTCGAGTTGGGCTCTAGCGTGCTGCAGACTTCGGCGTTCGACATGATCATGCGGAGTATGTGCAAGTAGCTCATGTAAAGTTATGATGTAGCGAGGTATCTAGAAATATTACAGAAAAGTGAATAGTGAAAAGGGCACCATTATGTTACGAAATTATTGCTGTAAATCAATACATAATTTAAAATTAATAACCCCTATAAGGATCCCATATTTCTTTTATATTATCAATATCTAATAGTTTTCATTAATGTTTCCTAGATTCGAATAATTTTTACCTGATGCATAGGATACGTAAGGAAAGTTTCCAGTGATCTTCCCTGACATGCTGGTTTGGATTCCAGCCTGGCCAAGAGTTGGGCGAAAGGCTGACTCTGCTTACATTCAGTGAGGACTTGTAAAGAGTAGTGGTGGTTCCTCACGTATTCTTGGTATATTGTCAGCATCGGCAGAAGCATGTCGAATAAGTCTCCTGTAGCAAGTGATAACTAAGTATCTGTTTTTATGTTATAGTTAACATTTTTGAAATGCAGAATGATTGAACGAATGAAAAATCTATTGACCAAGAAAGTTAATGTTAATAAATGACTAAAAAGTAAGCAAACACAATCAAATCGGTCTGTATTATCAAAGAAGATATTCACCTAGCACAAGTGTCGGCCAGGACTCCATACGTGACGTGAGGCCTTTGAAGAAGATCTGGTGGAGGAACAGTACAGTCTCGCTGTTCAGGAAAATGGAGTTCACATCTTCGTGGGTACACGGAGGCTTCTTCGAGCTCGCTGCCATTTTGAAAGGTCGGAGAAAACAGGTCACCTAAATGATAAAAAATAGTTACGATTTAGTAGACCGCTTTGGCTTATACAAAGTGCTAAACGTTGTTGAAATCTTACCATGATTTCCATTTGTTCAAGATACTCCTCTTCGGCTTCTACCATTTTGAAAACAAGACTGGAATGAAAAGGTCCACATTTAGTTACGCACTATACCATACCATATGTTTATTATGGTAATTTGGTGTACCTGTTTCTCTTCCTCATGCTTTCAGCGTGTGGACTTTTGATGTACTGCTCCACAATTTGCTTCCATCGCCGTCTGCACAACCAACCTCGAAAGAAGCTCTGTAAATACAATCAGCTCTTCAAGTTCATAGTCCATACGTGATCTATAGTTAGGATTCATAATTTATCAATTTTATATAGTTACCTGAACTTTCTTTATCTTCTTGAGCTCAGCAGGGTCGATGTCGGGAGAAGGTGTTGGTGACGAGCTGGATGTGGACGCGGCACGGGACGACGGCTCGTGCTCTTTTTTGAATGTGCATAGCTGACAGACCAGTGACATGTTAGCTAATAACTGTGTATTATTTAGCATCTATCAAAATTTAAGTGGCATACAAAGCCATTAACACAAACGAAAAAATAAAAAAGGCTCAAGCCTGTAGCCCTGTGGAACACTTTTTTTTACAGAAAGTCTCGTTAATGTCAATACATTAAAACACATTATCTGCTTTCAATTAAATACAGTAGCGCTTAAATTTATTAACAAGAACAATGTGATCTACAAAATCAAAAGCTCAAGAAAGATCACAAAAGAAATAAATAGCTGGCAACAGAACACACTAAAGCAATATCACAAACTGAATCAGTTAATATTTTAATTGTAACTTCTTAAGTTCCACTTGTACGACACCACAAGTAAATGCAGTAACCTCAGTCCGGAGTTTCTTGACTTCGCTTGTGAGTTCTTCGCACTGTTGCGCGTACTGCCAGCGTGAGGTCCTTTCGCTCTCCACAACCTGCAGCAGATGCAGCTGCTTCTGCTCCAGTTCTTCTTTTTGCAAGAGCAATTTGTTGAAGCTGTGGGAAAAAATTCTACTGGTTAGATAACTTATCGATATCCATAACCTCTTGGGCTCGTGGCTGCTGGGCATAACAGCGTGAAATTTTCAAAGTTAGTCTATGTATTAATTTTGACGTACTAAATGTAAAAAAACTTATGACATACGTTTTATAACATGTGTATACCTATGTATAAATTCAAAATGGGTTTGCCAATATGTCTTTGTGATCTAGGTAACTTTAAGCAAAACAAAATACAGTCGCATTGAGAACCTTCTCCTTTTTTAAGTCGGTTAAATAGTACCAGAGGCCGGGAAGTACGAAATCTGAACGAGTATGAGTTACAAAGCCGAGCGCCAGCAAGGCCTTGTATTAATACGAGTCAAGTCAAGTCCCCGTTCCCGTCGAGGCTTGTGAGGAAACAATAAAAGACTATCGAAGAGTATCTTTAATAAAAAAAGTAAAAAAATATTCATTAAAATTAATATTTGACATGTTAGGACAATTGTTAAAATAAAATGTTATTGTTCTTCAAGACACGTTGATATAGTAGTATGCTGGACTCTGATGATGTGGATGTATCAATTACAGTATTTTCGTTATCGCTCTTCTCATTAGAACTCATTTTTGCGACAAAAAAGACGAAAAAGCAGAAAAGAATACAAAATCACTTTAGTTTATCGTAAAAGTAAACGGGCAGGTATTTTTAATTGAGATTGAGATTATTTTTGATTGATTGATTTGACAAGGGAAGTAATAAATACCAAACTTTTCGTGTTCATATTTTTAAGGTAATGCATTGACTTACAAATAAATGGACGACGGGTCTAATACAAAAACCACGAAAAAAATATCCCAAGTCAACCTATTTAAACGTAGTGACATGTAAAGGAATATGAAAAAGCTAAAACGTTGAATTTAAATTGTAATGTCATCGCAATACTGTCTAATTTTGCTTGCTTCGCTGTCAGTCGAACAAACGAAGACTAAAGCGTGAATGACGCTCTGTATACGATTTTAACGCCCTATAAGTTCGGATACTTTTTAGCGCGGACCCGACGTCCATATAATTGTAAGTCAATGAGGTAATGTAAATATTTCCAAGCATGTTTGTAACACTATATTATTGCAAAGGCCGGGGAAGTAAGGGATTGGCTAATATTGCCACTTGTTTTAAGTTAGGCGGAGTACAATACATTACTGTATTTTTGTTATGGCTCTTCTCCCTAGAACTCATTTTCGCGATAAAAATACAAAAATAGTATAACCAAAGCACTTCAGATAATTGGACTGCCCCCGAACGGTTACCATGCCGGACTGCCACGCAGAGGTCCCAGGTTCGATTCCTGGGCCGGGATAAATATTTTTATGGCCTACATTTATTTATCTTGTGAGTTTCGGGGTAATTTGTGGTTGTTTATTTGTGTGTCTATGGCACGCGCGACACAGGGTTACCCTACTGCGGGGCTATGTTGAGTGTGTGCGTTTTATTATGTTTTTTTTAAAGTGGAATACTGGTAGGTATTTTTAATTCTCGCAATTACGAGCACAGCAGTTGCTGTATGAGTTTTTCTATTGCCTATTTACAAAGTTCATTGTTATTAGATGTAATTAAATGTTTAGAGCAAAGTCAAAGTCAAAGTCAAAGATTATTTATGCCATAGGTAAAATAAATTTACACTTGAAAACGTCACATTTAAGCTACTGCTCGTTCACTACGCTGACCTCCCTGAGAAGAACGAGGAAGAAACTCTACATATTGCTCTTTTCAAATAAACTTAAATGCTATGGAATACACTTTGAATCAAATTTGTGTGGATTCTGGAGCCATGTCGTCTTTCCATACATCTTTATCTAACACGTAGTCTTCAATTTTGTAATATG